GGGGGACCTTTCGATTGAAAGCACAGAAGCGCTAATTACTTAATGTTATGACAGTTGCTATTCTTTATACAAGTAATTTTGACAGGAGGTCAGCAAGCATATTGGTAAAAAAAAAGTTAGGGCATTTAATAGCGCCTACATAACGCTTTACGATATGGTGATTCTTTTCGTAATCTGTAGGTTTCTTTTCTTTTTATAGAATTTCCCTCCGTCAATGACCAACCAATGTTAGCGTCAAGGTTTTGAGGCTTTCCGTAGACTTTCTATGTTAATCGCACTGAGTCTCTACTAAAAATGGCTGGGAAAAAATTGCTTTAAACGTCATATTTAATTGATGTTGTTATCCTCTAGCAAGAGTAAAAAAAAGATATTTCGCAAAGTAAACGCCCTCCCCCCGGAAGTTACACCTTAGATACAGCCAAAGTGAGCGTAGTCACAACTTAGGATCGGAAACCTTTTGGCTGTTCCTAAGAGACCACATGCTGTAGTGGCTGTCCCTTAGGCGCCTTACACTCTTTAAAAATAAAACAAACTCTTTTCTCTAGAAATCAAAATAAATATTGACACTTTTGAAAGTGTCTGCTCTTTTGCCAACATTAACACTCAATGCCACCAAAGAAATCACTGCCAATTTTATTAAAATTTTTCCCTCGAAAACAACTTTCAGACACTATTCGTCAACATTAAAAGGACAATTGTAAATGCAATTGCCCTTATTATATTAAAGTAAGAGCCGCCAAAAATAAAAGGCGGGGTTCTCATACTCAAACTATCGAGAATGAACGTTTACGAGCTCAGTACAGAAATATTTTTTTGAGCAGTAATGGAAACAAAAAAAAAGCACGCGTCTGACTATGTAACAGGGTATTGAGCAGGGATTTTAAAGGTATCACGAAACTCAAAAGAACAAAACTTTGGGGGAGGGGTTTTGTGAGTCTGATAAAATAGTTTTAAAAGACTTATCTCAACTATGAATAACTGACACAATCCGACAAGTAGCATATAAGAAATTTATATTTGGTATATTTCCAGTGCGTGTAACAGGGCCTCTTGAAAAAATCCAACTCTTTAGGATAGCCAAAAGGTACCCGATCCTAAATGACCCAGAAATTTAAAAGTGGCTGTATGTGGAAATCGATGTAATGATCCCGTAAAGAAAGACCATAATGAGATGTCAATAACAATAACATTCATCCTTAAACTGTGTATATCTTGTAGCACACTGTTCAGGGGAAATTGTAGTTCTTAATATAGGTAAATGTGGCACCTCATTGTGGCTAATGTAACCTTCACATATTTTCATATTAATGTTATTTTTTAAATGAGTATGCCTTATACTTGTATGAAGGATGATATGAGATCAAGCCTGTACATAAAGTAAATGATCAGTATTTAATGTAAAGTATCGATAAAAGATATATTTAGGATTATCAAATGGAAGATTTAAGAAGTGTGGATCGAGTCACATATTAAGTAAATAGCCTCAATCACGACACTGTAACTGCGTCTATCATTGTGCCTTATTTTATCTTTTTAGTATTTCGGGTCTGTGATGGACGGTCTGATGTAAATAATGAACTTATTTTAAAGGGAGAAATGGTCACTTCACCTTCATACAGCTAGACATGAAAAGAGTGTCTGAGCACATGCTAAAAAAGCTATTGGTGATCTAACCGAAAGCATTATATACTAATAACGCATTTGTATACGCATATAAAAATAATAAGTGGTTATAAAATTGATAACAAACTCAAGAGATTTGTTCAACGAGTAAAACCTTGCTTATTTAGGGGAAATGAGTTACGCAATCCAGCCTTTTCACGATTGAAGATTGTACTCAGATCTTTTACTCTTTACTGTCCTTCTTGTAATTGCAACCCAGCCTTTTTCTGCCCCCCCTCAGATTTTTTTTTATTCCTTACTGCCCTTCTTTTCATTGCAATCCAGCCTTTTCCCGGCCCACAGATTTTTTTACTCTTTTGAGAGTCGCTTATTGGGCGACTGGGTTTTCTTCCAGTTTTGGTCCCCTTTGAGTGGAATGCAGCTTGCTCAGTCGGGTGGCTTGGTATTACTTTTAAAATTTGAATGGCCTCAGGCAGACAAAATCTGTTTTGTCTACTACTTACTTCCCTGCGTGTTTGTTATTTCACTAACTTTCTGCATAATGTAGCTTTTTTTTTAAAAAAAAAGCATATTCAATACATATAGCATATTGTTTTATGGGGTTTACTATTATTTATATTTTTTTTTAGGCATATACGTCCTTTTCATGACGAATAATAATGAAGATAAAGTCCCTACACTATGGCTGATTTTTTTGTTTGACTCAAATTTGTTCGTAAGACGTACAATAGTAGGTGGTTTTGCCCACCAAAAGTTGTTCGAATTGTCACCAACTGGTTTTGTTTTGCTTTTTTCTTCTAGTTGTTTTTTGCAAAATGAATAACATTTTGGTGATTTTACAATTAATTTTGCGCTTTTCTTAGGGACAGCCAATTTTTCCTTAGGGACAGCCAAAGTGCACGTAGTCACAACGTAAGATCTATGGTTTGGATGTTCTGTAGACATGGGAACAAGGATATACAATCAAAAAACAATGTAAAAATTACAAATAAATGTACATCAAACGATTTATACTTATTTGACAGTTCTATTATCACTCTTTCGCCTTTGAGCTCGTTTGAATTAAATCTTACGCAGAAATATTAATGTAAAGTCCAAACGAGAAGCTGAAAGTTAGCTTTAAAATACATATACTGGTTTAAACTATGTTAGTTCTGATAAATGTGTATATATTTCAAGTTGTTAAGTTCTATTGACCTCTTGATATCTTTTAAAAAACCATAATCCCAACATTACGACTACGTGCACCCTGGCTGTCCCTAAGAAAATTTGGCTGTCCCTAAGAGACCCGTTAATTTTGTACGACTTACCAATTAGAGTTTTTTACTATCACCCTAAAATAAATCAGCGATCAAAAATTGAAAAATATCGCAAACAAATTAGAGCGGAAATAACGATCTTTTTTTAAAAAATATCGCGATTGGCGATATCGATAAAATTTTCTAAAATATCGTTATTGGCAATATCGATCAAACTTTCCAAAATATCGCGATTGACGATATCGATCCATAAATCAAAAAAACAAAAAAATATCGTTGGATGGGGTAAAAAAAATGGGGTAATCGATAATCGATATAATATTACTTTTACACCCCTGCTGAATCAGGATACAGGCTTAAAATTGATACGTTTGTATATATTGGAAAAAAAAAAAATTTATTTATAAAAAAAAAACTAAATAACGTCGAATCTGACCATGATGAACCTCTTCAAATATGGAAAATGACCAGTAAAATATGACCAGAGACAGACATAATCAGAGGAACTACGATAGTGACCACACGAAGACCTCAGAAGAACAGCAGTATCACTTACCTGCAAAAATATGGTTTACGTTAATAAGAGAATAAATTATCATGTTTAGCAATGTGTACCTTTACAAACCGTGGGATGTACGAGCCTCAAATAAACAGTAATATCAATCAGCTTTAAAAAGTTGGGTTAACTTAATAATAAACAAGTATACCAAAGTCAAGTTATTTACCTTTCCACAAGTAATCAATGTATTGATTCC